GAGGGTCCTTCATGATAACCTCAGCTGCTGTGGGAATTGGCGTCACTCTGCATTGCAAACCAGCCATCCAGCTAACTGAGCCCTCCCCCCGCCTGTGTGTGCGTACAGCCTTAATGTTCCTTCCTGTAGCCCCTTTTAAAATTGTACTGATCAGTTTATGCTGGTTCTCTTAGTCACTTTTTTCACTGTTTTCCACCCAGTGGCAACTTCCACAGTGTGGACACAGATCAATAGTAGGTGATTGCTTTAGAACTGATGCAGTTAACTGCCTGTTATAATTGTGATGTTTATCTCTCGGGGCAATTAGAGTTCACAGTGCACAACTTCTCACATGTCCATATTGGACTCAATCGTAAAAGCGTGAGCAATAGGAACAGCAGCAGGCCATTCGGCCCCTCAACTCTGCCCCTCCATTCAGTGGGATCATGGCTGATCTGATATTCTTCGCGTCCACTATCCAGCCCTTTTCCTCTCGATTTTCTCCGACTGATCAAGAAACTATCGACCACAGCCTTAAATATACACTCGGACTATCGCCACAGCTCTCTATGGCCAGGAGTTCCAAAGACCCTCAACCCCCGAGAGAAGAAATTCCTCCTCCATCTCAGCCTTAAATTGGTGCCCCTTTATTCGGAGACTGTGCCCCCTGCTTGTAGACCCTCCCATGAGGGGGAACATCCTCTTAGCATTGACCCTGTCAAGCTGCTGATGAATCCGGTATGTTTCAGTGAGTGCCTTTGCTCACTTCCCCCAGCACCACTTGCTGTCCTCTTTAATTGTCATCTGTAAACTCGTCTTAAAAGGTGTATGGTTTTGTGGCCATCTGCTTTTGATCTATTGTATGCATTTGCATACAAAATGCCTGAGGAAAGATTAATCCAATCTGACATTTATGCTCCACTTGACCACCACCTATCATCCTCGTGTAAACAAATGTGACATTCATTCCCTTGTGATGCACGCACCCCTAGCTTTTTCTATTTAAAGCATTTATTATGGTTGCTGCAATCCCTCTTTGCTGTGAAGTTCCTCATTCTTGCCATAAACTCACCCAGTTTCTTCAGAACTTCCTTTTTGATGTCTTTCTGGTTTATCAGCCTATTGATGGCCAATCAGTTTCAAAAAATGGAGAAGTAAGATTGTAAAATGTGGGTGAAGCAACAGGCCCTTTTAACCCCATTAAGTCTGCTCTGCCATTCACAGGCTAATCTGATGGTCCTCAACTCCCCTTTCCTGCCTCCGCCCCATCGCCATTGATTCCGTTACTGATTTTAACAATCTGCGTCAGTCTACAATTAACAACCCAGCCTCGACAGTCCTCTGCAGTGATGAATCCCACACATCTTCCCATATCATATTCAGTTGGTAAGATTTTGTTCACTCATTTAACGCCGTCTGTATCCCTCTGGTAGATTTGTGTCGTACTCAACGACTGCTTAACCAGCTATTTCATCAGCAAACACAGCTATAGTGCATTCACCTCCCTCCTACATCGTAAATAATTGTGGCCCTAACACTGATCCCTGTGGCACACCACCAGGTTACCAGCCTGGAAATGCTCCCCTTTATTCCTACTCTGTCTTCCATTAGTTAGCCAATCCTTTTTTTCATGTTAATAACCAGCCTGCAACACCACAGGCTCTTGGCTCACTAGGCTAAATGTATGTGTTATCAAAAAGCCTTTTGGAAATCAAGTACGCTACATCTCCTGGCTCCCCTTTACCTATCCTGCTGGTTTCATGCTCAAAGACCTGTAATCAGCTTGTCTCGGGCACTATTTCCCCTCATGAAGCCATGTTGATTCTGCTTATAATTTTATAGTTCCAAATGCTCGGTTATTACACCCTCTAAAGGAGACTGACTTTTTCCCATTGATTGTATGCTTATGTGGCTTTTAATTATCTGTTTATTTTGGCTCCCTTAAGTAAAAGTGTTAGACTAGCAGTTTTCCATTCCTGCCTTTAAGGATTCCTGGAAGACAATGACTAATGTAGCACTGTTTCTTTAAATTCCTAGGATGCATCCCATCAGGTCCAGGGGACTTTCAGTCTTTGGCCCCAATTTTTTTTCCTCTAGTGATTGTTACTTTTTTCATTCGTTCATGGGATGTGGGCATCTGTAGCTGGGCAAGCTTTTATTGCCCAGAGAATAGCTAGGAGTCAGCCACATTGCTGTGGGTCTGGAGTCACAGGCCAGGTAAAGATGGCAGTTTCCTTCCATAAAGGGCATTGGTGAGCCAGATGTGATTCACAGTCATCATTAGACTCTTAATAGCGATATTTGTTGAATTCAAATTCCACCGTCTGCTGTGGCGCGATTTGAACCTGAGTCTCTTGATTATTAGCCTTGTGATAATACCATCATGAGCCTATTGCATCCCTGATTCCTCTCCCATTTTAGCAACTATTTGGGAATGCTATTCGGATCCTCTACTGTGAAGACAAATGCAAAGTAATTATTCAACTTCTGTCACTTCCCAGTTCCATCACCAACTGGATTGCTGTGGGTTTGAGCCCATGTCCCCCCTTAGAGCAATAGTCCAGGCCACTGGTTCACTCATCTTGCCACTTACGCCATAACTCCCTGTAAACCAGGCATTAGCCGCACTGCTGTGGTACTGGGCGGAATTGGGAAACCAGATCTCGCACACACACACAGTTGTGTGTCGGGTGTCCCCATCTCTCTGGGATGGTCAAGTCCACGCTTCAGGATTACTAAGGCAGTCATGTAACCATTGCCTAGCCAGTGCTGTTGTACTTCTCTCCCTGTGTGTGTTTGGGTGCAGTGGCTGCTCAGTCAGCTGAAGGATTCTGCTTGAAAGAACTTGCAGGAACTGTGAAACCATTGGCATGCGATTACACAGTATTGGCCAGGTTGCTCCTCTCTCTTTCTTTTTAAAAAAAAAAACCTTCAAACTGCAACAGAGTGCAGAAACACCAGGGTGTTCCCGCCAATCTTTATTACACACCAACAAAAACAGGAGCTGCTGGAAAAGCTCAGCAGGTCTGGCAGCACCTGTGGAGAGAAATCAGAGTTAACGTTTCAGGTCCAGTGACCCTTCCCCTCAACTGATGGTAGCTACATAAAGGGTGGTTCTTATGCAGGAGATTGGAGGAGGAATAAATGCTAGGTGGAGGTAGAGGCCCAGGACAGAGGGAAAAAAAACAGGTAGGCAGACAAAGGAGTTGTCCAAGGTCAGTCTGAGGGAATGAAAAGCAGTTAATGGGTACCATTAGTAGCTGACAATGGGTGTGTGGTAACAGCCAATGTGACAACAAGGCCTGGTGTCTGAGGCTTGCAGTAAGGACGTGGATGGAAGTGCCTCAAGCCCTAAAATTAGTGAACATGATATGGAGTCTGGAGGGCTGCAGGGTCCCCAAGCAGAAAATGAGGTGGTGTTCTTCCAGCTTTCACTGAGCTTCAAAACCAAAATTGCTGGAAAAGCTCAGCAGGTCTGGCAGCGCCTGTGAAGGAAGAAACAGTTAACGTTTCGGGTCTGGCATGTTAAACTGACAGCCAATGGGAAGCTCAGGATCAGTGTTGAACTCTTAAGTGCTTTAGCACTTTATTTTCCACTTGGGAACTCTACAGCCTTCTGGACTCAATATTGAGTTCATTTTTTTTAGGGCTTGAGGCACCTTCTCCATGTCCTTTACCCCAGCCCCCACACACCAGGCCTTGTTATCACATGGCCTGCTATTACACACAGCTCATTGTTAGCTACTGATGGTGCTTCATTAGCAGATATTCATTTGACCTTTTACCCAATCTTGTGTTTGTCTAACTGTGTTTCTCTCTCTTTGGGTTCTATCTTCACCCACCCTCCCCCAATCTTCTGCATGAAAACAAACCCTTTCTTGGCTTACCCTCAGTTCTGAGGGTCACTGGACCCGAAACATTTAACTCTGCTTTCTCTCTTCACAGATGCTGCCGAATTCCTCCAGCAATTTCAGCTCTTGTTTTTGATCTCCGCCATCCTGCAGTTCTTCCGGGATTTTCTGTTGCAAAACCCTGGTCAGCCCTCGGCTTGGGGGGGAGGGTGTGTGGTTAGCGGCTAACTCTGAACGCCCTGGTTTTCAGCCCTCCTGCTACAGAAACTGGAGTGCTTCCTCTCGCAGCGGAGGAAGGCAGAGGTAGATGGGTGGGATCCAGCAAAAACAAAACATTTCTACTTGGCTAAAGCATCGACCGCCAAGTTAGGGCGATTGGTCACTGTTAGAGATGTGCAGCTTTTAATGATGGAGTGGAATGCGATGCCAGAAGGAGTGGATTCAGCGGTGCAAGAGAATGGGATGGGTATGTCAAGTAGACTGTGGCTCTGGGGGGAAGAGAGTGCTGGGACGTGGGGAAATGGGACCAGTGAGAAAGATCTTGGCTGACGCTAGTGCATTGGAGTCCTTGTTTCCTGCAAACCTGTGTCTTAACTCTCTCCCTCCTTTTTTTTTTCTCTGTCTTTGTTGAACTCCCTCCCTCTAACCAGGCTGTACGGTTTCA